CAGTCTCTACAACATTTTCTCTTACTTAAACTGTTATCCGATGTAAGAAACCCATAGCCACTAAGGAGGCAGAAAGGGAATATGGCGGTGAAAACTAAATTAATATTAAGGTAGTCAGGCACACTCAGCCTCTTTAACCTGTAGGCATTTGGCGAAGTATGCACCCTATGCCCACGGCCACCGGATCGGGTTGTATTATACTATAAATTTTTTTATTGGTGAATTTTTTTATGTTATTTCAGAATAGAGTTATTTTGGAAATAATTATTTCTTATTTTTTAAAAATAATTTATATATAAAATAAGTAGATCTGAAATGATTATTTCAGAAATAAATTTAGTAGTTATTTCATCGAGATTATTTTATTGGCGATTTGAAATATTATTTCATAAATAACCATTATTTCGGAAATAATTCATTCATTAAATAATCATATGATTTATTTCAGAAATAAATTATTTCAAGAATGCTCAGATCTAGTTTATATTGGGTTGGCAAATAAGTCTTTTCGGTTTTTCTGTTTATTTTTATGTCACTGTGATACACATCTTATCTGCCAAATTAATCTCTAAGGTGGATTGTTTATCCTCTTTGTAATATGTCAACAACTATATCGGTTAACTGTTGTTAAAAGTTTAGTATTGTGTTTGCTATCGCACTGTGAATATATCATTCATGGAAGAAAATATTCATTATCGGAATATTTCGTGTATTATTTTAAAAAAGGTAAGAGTGCTGAAGAAGCTCGTAAAAAAATTTGCAGTGTGGGCTGATAGGGGTGATGCCTTAACCGAACGCACCTGTCCAAATTGGTTTGTCAAATTTCATTCAGAAAATTTTGACATCAATGATCCTCAAAGGTCTGGTCGCCGATATGAAATCGAAACGAGCAATGTTAAGGATATTGTTGATCAAAATCCAAAACCATTTGCATAAGCTCGGCTATGTATCCAGGCTTAATGTTTGGAATTTTATTCTCCTCACATAATTTTTTTTCGAAAATTATAAATTTAAAATAACATTATAAAAAATGTTATAACTTCAATACGACTTTAGCTATCTACAAGAAATTTAAAAAAAATTTAGGACCACATAAACATAACAAAATGACATCAAGAGAACCCTCGTAAACAAACTACAAATGGCGATAAAAAATAAAAACCTATAAAGAGTTTTTTTTATTTATTCCTCATGTAAGCATTAAATAAAAAAAATTATTCGTACGGTTTTAAAGAACAATAATTCAGCTTTCCAACGGAAATAGTAACATCGAATTTATTAATTTAGTAACATCCTGAAGAGTTATGAATGATCTGAAGGGTGTCGTGTTCCACCAAAACAACGCTAGTAGGCCCCACACCTCATTGGTAACTCGCAATAAATTATTGAGCCTTGGATGGGACCTCTTGCCCCACGCTCCCTGTTCACCAGACCTAGCTTCAAGTGACTACTACTCATTTTGGTCCCTTCAGAACTCCACGAATGAAAAGAAATTCCAAAAGGGAAGGACATCAATAACCACTTGGACCAGTTTTTAACAATAAATTCCAGACAACAAGAAATTCCTTGCATTATGCAGTTTGTGGAAAGATTGGAAAAACTCATATTAAATAATGGTCAATATATTGTAGATTAAAATAAATTTTATGTCTATAATACATTGAATTTAATTTGACCCTGTAAAACCGAAAGGACTTGTTTGCCAATCCAATACTTCAAATACTCAATTATTTATTTACCCACCAACTGATGCAAAATGAAACAAACAAGAAAACGAAAATCTTAAATTCTAAATTAAATCAAGTCTTATTATAAATATAAAGGTTTTAATTGTTTAAAAATATTTTTATTTCATAAACAATAGTTCATTATATGAGAATCTCATAATGAGATCTCGATATTGGCATTACGCCAATCCGAAACTGTTTTTTTTTTTTTCATTTGCCATTTGCCATCTGTTTTCAAAATAAATACAAAGGACAAGTAGAAAGAATTGCTGTAAAACCAGCTATGGTAATGGGGAATACCCATACGTGACGTCATAAAAAGGAAAAAAAATGAATGAAACCATTAAAACTTTATGGGGTTAACAAACCTTTATGATAAAACGCATGCCAAAAAGTTAATGACATTTTATATTTAATATATGAGGTATTTAATTAAAATATATAATATTTATATAAATATATTTATATTATTCGACTATCATTCCTTTAATTTTTTATATCATTTGAGGGCTTTGTAGTAATAACATTGAAAATGCCTTCTAGTTATATACATGTTGAAATGAAGGTACGTTTAGAAAATTTCATAGATTGAAACCGATTTGAAAATAATTGTTATGAGGTTTAAGTTTGTCCCTGTCTTCGATTTGTAATTTCCAAATACTTTGACCATTTGCTTCCGAAGGCTCTGGTTCTCTTTTCCTTTCAACTTGAAAAAATCACTAAATCACTTTTTAATACGCAGATCCTTCAAGGCTAGTTAAATTTAAATTATTAAGTTATTTCATTATTTATAGCCATATTATATTGATTCTTAGTGTGAATAGTTTTCAGAGAAAATCTACATAAGATTTTTCCATTTAATATTTAAGTATGTTCTTCCAATATAATTAACGTGGTTAGAGACTCGCTAGGACCTCTCGAAGTCTCAGCTTTGCCATTTAAATGTGGACAGAAGAGCTGGTTCAGGTAATTCGGATGAAAATGCATTTTGTAAGTACGGATGTGTATTGAATGTTTTTCTTTTGTTATAACTTTGTAATTTATATAAATTAATAGGTTGACCATTATAGATTGGGAAATTAAATATTTTTAATAATTATTATAAGAGTGAAACAGAATGAGTGCTGTAATTTAAACTTTTTATTTTCACTTTCCTATCAAATATGAAATATATAGTTAAATAAAGTATTACGATCCTGAAAATTTTCGAATCCAAGTCCCGCTAAATGGTCTGTGTACTTGTGTGTATGTGAACAGACTAGCTCAAAAACGAAAAATAGTACAAAACGGAAATTGCATATTTAACATTTTTATGTTTCTGGGATGTTTCAGCAGCTTTTCTGTTAAAATTGGCAAACCGGAAGTACACTTTATATCATCGATTTAACACATTTTTAGGATTTTCATTAAAATCAATAGGCCAGTGTATTATTTAATGGTTTTTAATTTATATAAGTTTTATTATCATTGGTACAGCATGCTTTTCATATTAGCCTATTTTTCAAAATCTCTTCCTCTAAAATACCTATAATCTCATTTATTTTAAATAATTAACTGTCTCTCATTGTTAATAGTAATAAAAAAATTCTCAATATGAACTATGAATAAATTTGATAGTTGACGATGATTAAAAAAGGAAAGTTTTTTGGGGTTTGAAAATGAATTGCCGGAAATAACAGGCAGAATGTATATCTATGACATATTTTTGGAAATCTAAGAATTTTAGTAAAAACAATAACTGACGTACAAAGTCGTAGAAGATAATGTAGAGTAACGAAAAAAAATTATAAATAATAATTTCTGAAAATTAACACTATTTAACAGAAACCAAATGTTGCCATGGAAAAGTGCAATTCACTTACTAAATTTAAATTTCATTAAAAAATATTTTACAGTTTGAAATAAGATCATATCTAATCCACAGATACAGTGGAATTGTTAAAATATCTTTTATTTCAGTTGTTATTGAAGAAGAAGTAGAGTATAAAATTTGTCATAGATGAGTAAAACAAATAAGTTATAAAATGTTTATAACCTTGAATACATTTACCGAAATTTAATCATTTAAATCCGATAATATATTTAAATAATTAGGTGTGTATCGTCGATTTACTCGAAACAATCATTAAAGAACATTTAAAAAGTTAAATTAGTGAATAATTTGATAAATTTTCTATTGGTGAAATCATAATATTATTCCCCTTACACTTAGTATGACGATTTCCGACCTATGTGTCCCTAATATATTGAAAAACTAACAACTGTATTTAGGTAAATTCTACAAGGGAAAAAATAATGGCTCCACATAAATAGATTATTGTAAAATAGTTACTCTGGTCATCAGATAAGTACGAGAAGGAGAGTAGAGGATGATTGTCTAGATAGGACAAATATATAGCTCCGGAAGTTTGACTTGTTTAAGTTGTTTAAGACTTTTTAGATTTAAAATTGAATACTTTTACGTTATCATTACGTTTTTTGTAGAGCTCAGGATATATAAATACTGCTGTAGATGATCTGTCTTAGGCCAAGGGGATCCAACAATTTGTTTTTCAAGGTACCAAAGGAAGGGGCACACGAAGTCACTCTAAAGCAGGAGGTTTTTCGGTAAAAAATCTCTTACAAACCGTTCACATTTGGCAATTTTTAATTCATAACCTATCTATAACCCAGAGCACTAGATCCAAGATTTCATTTTATTTTGTGGAGGAGGGGGAGGCTTCAGCCCGAAAACTTTTATTATTGTTTTAAATGTAACTTAAATTTCTTGAAAGAAACTAACTACTTATACGAAATGGTGTTTAAATGATTCTTCAAGTCCTATTAAATGAAATTACATGAACAATAATACTTTTAGATACAATTTTTTTTCATAAGACATGGTTATATTTTACCATTTTGGCTTCAGCCCGAACACTCTCCCCTCAGCACCATAGGTCCATATGTGCCCCGGAGGTGAGCAGCACCACGTCCGATTAATTATTTGTTTAGGGGAACCAATGTTCCATAACTTTGAGCTATTAAAATTTGTTTCTTAGTTACTACTATTCTTAGTTACTACTACTAGTATTCCAGAAGTAAAGGACACATTTTTTTATCGGTTTCCATATCTAGTAAAACACTTGGTGATCCCTAAAAGGATTCAAGTAAACATTATTTTGTATTGTCCCTTTTTCTTTCCAAGTAATTGCCGTTAGTAAAAGACCACCAAACCAAGCCTCCCAAAATTAAATGCTTCATTGGCTACTTCCTCCAGGTGTTGCTCCGATAATGCTAAGCGCTCCGCTTTAGAACTCCCGTAGGAACGTGGAGGGTTGCCGAGCTAGTTTCAGAACGGCCACTCAGCATCCTCAGAACGGAGCTAGGGATGGCTGCTTTATCATAGACATTAGCCAGAAGGGACCTTGCAGATACCTGTCATTATCATTAAGTTAATTGACTGGGTCGGGTAAACACAAGCGGGAGCTAATTGGTCGGAGCACTAAGCTAATGGGAGCCATCTGGCTCTCAAACAAAAAAAATAAAGAAATCAAAAATTCTTTTTAGGAACACGGAAGGGACCATTAGCAAAACTTTAAAAATAATAATAATTTAAAAAACTAGTAGGCCCGTGCGAAAAATTCGCACAGCATATTGTTTTCAAATGACAAATTAATAATAAAATAAAATAATGCAACTTATCAAAAGATAAAGAAATCAATTGTTACTTTATCGATAAACATAATCGAGGAAGGAAACAAAAATTAATTTAAATCTTCATTAATGTGCAGAACCAACATGTTTACGAATTTCAATAAGCTGTATCTTTGCTAAAAATTGTCCGATTTCGATGGGTTTTTTTTCCTTTTGTATGGTATACTGATTAGAAAATATTTACAAGTATAAAATCCCAAGGTAAAATCTTGTCGATAAGTCCTAATATAAGACTATATTATAATATATAATATGGTATTAATTGATGCCATGAGGGAGGTGGATTTGCTTTGCCCTAGTCGTTCGAATCCCAAGAAGATAATAAAACATGAAAAAATATATAAAAATATTGGATTTAGCAATAAAAAATACAAGTAAAATACATTTTTTCAAGTCGTTCAAACTAAAGATAAGCATCAAACGTCGTTTGTAATTAGACAGCCAAAAACGCACTCAAATAAAACATCTAGAGAATATTTTTCTCTTCCTAAAACAATGATTAAGGGGACCCTACACGGTAACTCATGAATGAACGTCACAAGAAGTTCCAAGATTGCCCGCTATCGCTTTGATCATGAAGACCCTTCCTTACACGTTCAATCATTACTGATCATTACTTATCGTTACTGATACCAATTTAGCGAAGTTGTAAACAAAGAAACAGCATAGATATGCTTATTTGGACATTGTCATTTATAATATTGGGCATCAAGAGAAAAACGGAGATATAATAATTACTTCCTAGTGCCTGAAAATCGTTTAGACCAAACTTAGAAAAATATAAGTCAACTACATACAAAAATCTAGAAAAAGTATTGCGAAAATAATCAATGTGTTAAGAAAAACGGAAAAATTAATGGCAAAAAACACAACAGTTAAAGATTTTTTTTCTATAAGTAAATTGAGAAGTTCCCACTTTTTTTTCTCTCCAATTTATTGCCTACCTGACTATTTAAAGAAAAAATAGTTGAAAATGGTTAATAATAATATAGACTAGGGATATAAACAACTATTTACTTTTATGAAATTATTTACTTAATAACGACACCTAGGTAAACTAACCTATCTAGTAGTAAGGTTAGTCTCATAAAAAATCGTTTTGACAAAAGTTAGTAAAATATAAGTCTACTACTTACAAAAATTAAGGAAAGGTATTGCGAAAATAATAAATTTGTTGAGGAAAATGGGAAAAGAACTGATAAATATACACAACGTTAAAGTTTTTTTTTTCCTAAAGTAAATTGTGAAGTTTCCTCATTTTCTTTTTTAATTTGTTGCCCACTTGACTATTTAAAGTAATAGTTGAAGATGGTTTAAAATTATAAACAAGGGATATGAAAAATTATTTAACTATTTACATATAATGAAAATCAGAAATTTATAATGGTTGTGAGGGGCCTAGGTAACCTAACCTATCCAGCAGTATGGTTAGTCTGCCCAGCCCATATGTTTAGTCGGTCTCCCCCCCACTTCTCGGGAATGAACCTTTGATTTCGGGATGTTCGGAAATCCGCAGCGTACCACCATCAGTACTTCATTCACTACCTTACACGACAATTCGGAACGTCATTAGTGCAATTCCGATTGACCGTGTAGGGTCCCATTTACTTTTTTAAATATTTGAAGCGGTTCCTTGAAAGTATGACATGTTAGGTTAGTAACCTCACAACAGTCTTAACTAGGGATGGGTTGATACTAAAATTTTTGTATCTAGATACAACTGATACGGGTACTTTTTTGTATCTGATACTTTTATCTGATACTTTTGTATCTGATACAAATGGGTCAGTAGTTGGTCATGACCTTCCTACTACTTTTTATCTGATACTAGTATCAGATATTTTTATCTGATACTGGCATCAGATACTTTTATCTGATATTTGTATCAGATATTTTTATCTGATATTTGTATCGGATATTTTTATCTGATATTTGTATCAGATATTTTTATCTGATACCCGCATCGGATACTTTTATCTGATATTTTTATCTGATACCTGGACTAGATACCCAGCGGTATGCATGCTGGCGCTTGGTATCTAGTCTAGTCTTGGACTTATTAGTTAATATATAGTAGTTCTAATGACTTTATAGTTATGTCAGGTACTATGAAGATATTCACACAGTTTTTAAAACAAAATGTGATTCATATTAGACAAAAGAATGGAATATATTAAATAAAATATAACAAATTCATGCAGAGAAAAATTTTTCCTAATACAACGTTCTTAAGAATTTTGTAACAATTGAAAAAATTCTTAATAGCTACGTTTAACATACTCACACACACATATATATTTTTTATTTTCACTGATCAATCTACATCTTGGGATTTAGATTATATAGGACTTGTATAATTTATACAAAACTATTATTGTATTCTTTGAACATATTGAGGTACATAGGTAAATCATTTAAAGTAAATATTTATCCACTCTTTTATTATTATTTTTTTCATTAATACAATGGTATGACAACAAAAGTAATTTGTCGTTCATTTCAAATTTCAGTTAAAATTCCATAGTTTATTGTTTTTAGTAACTATCTTGCTGTATTGGGACCTTATTGCTCATATTATGTCTTTAATATATCAGTATAGTTATGTAAATCCTTCTGTTATTACTTATTTTTTAGTTTTTTTTATTGTAATATGCATTTTGGCCAGATGTTATGTTAATTTTTATGTACAATATTGTTATTCTCAAGGGACTTTGTCCCAGAATAAAGGTGATTATTCTATTCTTTCTATTCTATATATATACTTATTGTTTCTGTTTGTATTACAGACCATGTAGATCTTTTGCCACCTTAACAAGTATGCTCAATCTCTGCCTGTCTTGGGCTATTTTTTGCCATTTATCTGCACGCAGCTCTATTCTATCTTTGTTGATTCTATCTATCCATCTGCTTTTTGGCCTTCGACGTGGTCTTTTGCCTACTATAATAAAAATAGCCCAAGACAGGTAGAGATTGAGCATACTTGTTAAGGTGGCAAAAGATCTACATCGTCTGTAATGCAAACAGAAAAAATAAATATATATATAGAATAGAATAGAAAAGAAGAATCACCTTTATTCTGGGACAAAGTCCCTTGAGAATAACAATATTGTACATAAAAATTAACATAACATCTGGCCAAAATGCATATTACAATAAAAAAAAACTAAAAAATAAGTAATAACAGAAGGATTTACATAACTATACTGATATATTAAAGACATAATATGAGCAATGAGGTCCCAATACAGCAAAATAGTTACTAAACAACAATGAACTACGGAATTTTAACTGAAATTTGAAATGAACGACAAATTACTTTTGTTGTCATAATATTGTATTAATGAAAAAAATAATAATAAAAGAGTGGATAAATATTTACATATTACATATTAAATGATTTACATATGTAATTTAATATGTTCAAAGAATACAATAATAGTATTGTAAACATTATACAAGTCCTATATAATCTAAATCCCAAGATGTAGATTGATCGGTGAAAGTAAAAGAAATATATGTGTGTGTGAGGATGTTAAACTTAGCTATCCTATAGTGAATATCTTCATGGTACCTGACATAACTATAAAGTCATTAGAACTATTATATTTAAAAATGGTGTAAAATATTTATTACAGGGACAAATTTAATAATAAAGGAATAAAATATATATAGGTACATATTTAATGTATGTTTTATTAGGTATCAAATAGGTATTAAAATATCAAACCCGATCAATAATCAATTACAGTTGGATTAAAATATCTGATACAATTATTGAGATATCAAGCCCAAGTGCCAGTATGCATACCGCTGGGTATCTAGTCCAGGTATCAGATAAAATATCAGATAAAAGTATCCAATGCGAGTATCAGATAAAAATATCCGATACAAATATTAGATAATGGAAAGAAATAGCCCAAGAGAGGTAGAGATTGAGCATACTTGTTAAGGTGGCAAAAGATCTACATGGTCTGTAATACAAACAGAAAAAAAAAAAAAAAAAAAATATATATATATATATATATATATATATATATATGTGTTGTGTGTGTGTGTGTGTATGTTAAACTTAACTATAAAGAATTTTTTTAATTGTTACAAAATTCTTAAGAACGTTGTATTAGGAAAATTCATTTCCTCTGCATGAATTTGTTATATTTTTATTTAATATATTCCATTCCTTTGTCAAATATGAAGCATATTTTGTTTAAAAAATTGTGTAAATATTTTCTTAGTACTTGACATAACTATACATTCATTAGAACTATTTATATATTAACTAAAAAGCCCAAGCGCCAGTATGCATACTGCTGGGTATCTAGTCCAGATATCAGATAAAAGTATCCGATGCGGGTATCAGATAAAAATATCTGATACAAATATCAGATAAAAATATCCGATACAAATATCAGATAAAAATATCCGATACAAATATCAGATAAAAATATCTGATACAAATATCAGATAAAAGTATCTGATACTAGTATCAGATAAAAATATCCGATAGCAGTATCAGATAAAAATATCTGAAATTAACATTACATAAAACAAAAAAAAAAAATAAGCGTAAATATATTTATCTACAAATAAATATTTAATTAAATTAAACTAAATGAATAGATAGTTTTAAAAAAATTGTGCACAACTAAAATTATAACTAAACATTTCTCTTATATCAATGTGGCATGTCTGGACAACCATTTTGTATCC